ATGTATGACTGTAATACAAGCTTATAATGCCATGTAATGTCTTTCTCTTTATTGTATTTACAGCTTTATTTTCCAATCAGTGTACAAGTATTTACATAAAAACTAAATATGTCCTTAGTACCAAGACTTTTATTGAGAGACTATGCAATGAAATAAAGCTTTTCAAAGTACATTTTTATTTAAAATATTTATTACCGGCTTTAGAAAAATCTGTGTCTCAACTTCAGTAAGTCTCTTGAAATCATTTTTGTTCACCATTAAAGGTAATATATAACAGCATTAGGCAGGATTTAAAAATCTCCAACTGATCGTATTTTGTTTCCCCAGGTTCACAGCAGGCAAGTCTCACATTGAGGACTTTTTTGTTCACATACTATTGCACAATTTCATTTCTTTCTGAATATAAAGTGTGTAGCCTTTAATAGATTATAAGTTGTTCTATGCTAGGACACAATTTAAACTAAGGAAAGCTATTAAGCACAATTTTCAATCACAATCACATAATTGTAGGGTTTGGAAGGGATCTCTAGAGATCATCGAGTCCAACCCCCCTGCCAAAGCAGGCTTCCTACACCAGGTTGCACAGGTAGGCATCCAGGCAGGTTTTTAACATCTCCAGAGAAGTAGGCTCCACAACCTCTTAGGGCAGCCTGTTCCAGTGCTCCATCACCCTTACTGTGAAGAAGTTCTTGCACACATTTATGCAGAGCTGCCTATACTTCCTGAACATTGCCATTAATAAAAGTTATTTTAGAAGACTTATCTCTAGATGATAGTAGCTATTTGGCCCCAGGTTACGTGAATACAATTTTGAAATGTTTTTTATTAACAGCAATGTTCAAGGAATTCACATCTGGAAAAACTGAATTTTAATAGGTCTGAAGATGCCAAGGATCTACAATAAGATAAGATCTGAACACTTAGACTTCAGTAGTTTACAACACGATCTCTATCTTACCTGAGTCTCAAAGCATTCAGTAGTGGTAAAGTCAAAAATATTATGGGCAAATGTTTTCTCACTATAGTCTTTAGAAACCTTAATTGTGAAATCAAAGTTTTTTGTTGTTGTTGTTTTAATTTTCATCTTCATAGCAATTATTGACATGTGTGAGTGATGGTTATTGATTTCTCAGAGTGGCCAAATATTAGAAACATCAGTCTTACGGACCATAACTACTTCCAATGTATACAGCTAATTAATAACTTCTGTCTCTAATCAGTGATTTTTAATGTCTGATTTCTTTTTTGTCTTGCTGCTGCATGAAGGTAAAGCTTGCTACAGTAGGTGGACAAGTAGTGCATCTTCATCAATGTAAGCTTTTTTATTCACAAGACTTCATGTAGATGTGCTTCTCCATGAGTAGTTTCCTTTTAACTGCTTTTGATATTATTCTTTTCAATTCACATTTTATTTGAAACAAGATGTATAGTGTGTAAATGCATTTATTTTATTCTGTACACTGTCTCAAACGGAGTTTTCAAATATAGTTTCACGTATAGTTTTGGTTTCAGATAAAAGCACAAACTAAATTAATAAATGACCATGGTGTAACGGTTCAAAGTAGTTTAAAAAAAGCCTATTAATTCTGACTGGTTTATGGATCTCCTGTAGATTGCTATAGAAAGGAAAATATTGAAAGTGTGGTCCATCGTCCCTTAGCCACTTTCTAGCTACTGCAGACAGGCATATGAAATATCTTTTCAGGAACACATTAAATTGCTCCTCATAACTGATCATGTTGGGTTTTTTTTTTTTTCTCTTCATTATATGTGTATTCCAGAACTTCCCTACTCTGATGGTTCAAAGCATTCCAGTTTCTAATAGGAATATAGTAATGATTATTGATTCTTGTGCTTAATTTGTCAGCAAATTTGGACATGGGGCTTTTCCTGATTATAAATAGACTGTGGAGTGGATGGGATACCAAATCACCAAAGCATGAAAGCTTTGAATCAATGTGTGAAGCAGTACAGGTTGTTGCAGAGTTTGGGATTGACACTAATTACTGCTTTATTTAAATAAAATACTGGCAAAGTAGAAATTATTTCTAAGGAATTAGTGTGTTTCTCCTTTTATTATTACTAATATCTAACTAGTTTTAAACTTTTACTTAAACGGCAGTGATCCTTCACTCTGATAAAAATAATAGTTCTCTGGATACATATTTACCAGGGTGAAATCTAGGACTACAAGTAAGCACGTGTACTTTCTGAACCAGGTCCAGCAGCAAAGTTCAGTGTTTCTGAATAGGATTCCTTACAGCCAGTTTATTGTGCTGGTAATTGCCTACAGCCAAATCTGCTAATACCGAGCATGCACCTAGGCATATAGAAAACCTTCCTTAAATGAAAGAGCATACAAGGTGCAACCTGATTTAGGAAGCATCTGAAGCAACTTCAAGATGATTGAACTGGATTCAGATAGCGTATGTAAATGACTGAAGCAAAAATGTTCTGATTTCTTAGAAAGTGTGTTAATCACTAGAATTGAGCACCATGTATTAAGGACATGACTATGTGATTGTTTCAAGGAATTGTGGCTTCTTCCCTGCACAACAAGACACTTCCTAATGCCATTCCCTATTTTTGCAGGAAGGGAAGGTCTCTGGTCTTACAAGTTGACTTTGTTCATAGAATCATAGAATGGCTTGGGTTGAAAGTGACCCCAAGGATCATGAAGTTTCAACTCTCCTGCTACAGGCAGGGCCACCAACCTCCAGATCTGGTACTAGATCAGGTTGCCCAGGGCCCCATCCAGCCTAGCCTTAAGCGTCTCTGGGAGGAAGCATCCGCAACCTCTCTGGTCAGCCTGTTCCACCACCTCACCACTCTCTCTTGAAGAACTTCTCCCTGACATCCAATCTAAACCTTCCCTCCTTGACCTTAAAACCATTCTCCCTTGTCCCATAACTATCTACCCTTATAAAAAGTTGATTTCCATCTTTTCTATAATCCCCCTTCAAATACGGGAAGGCTACAGTGAGGTCTCCTCACAGCCTTCTCTTCTCCAGGTTGAATAATCCCAGCTCCCTGAGCCTGTCTTCATAGAGGAGGTGCTCTGGCCCTCTGTTCACTAGTATATGCCAAGAAAGTCATGATTATCAATGCCATTGCTACTGTTTTAAAGGGAAAAAAAAAAGAAGAGAAAAAAAAATGAAAACAAATTATGCTCAACTTTACTCAGTTACTTACACAAGAATTCCAGGTTGTAAGTAGCAAGTTATGAGAGACAACTTTCCGCAATTCTAAATTGGAGTTTTGAAGTGGGATGACACTGTAGATCGATTCCAACATCTACTGTGTCTTAGCAGTTAACTTGAAGCAGTTTCTTGCTTAGACTTGTTGCTTTTATAAGTTACTTAAGTCATAGTATGAGAAGATGGGGAAAATGTTAAAGCCTCAGTGCATTAGTGTTCACTATGTCTTTTACAGAGTATAGTTCTTCATACTTAATTGATCCTTGGGCTTGACTATTTTGGGGTAAGGATTTCAGTGAACTGCAAAGTAGTTGGAACTGGAGTGTTAGTACACATCTGCACCTACTCTTTGATTCTGGCATTTTATCTTTTGCTTTAAAATTTGATTTTAAAATCATTATTGATTTAAAATCGGTATTGATTTTCAAAACACTTATTTCTCCCTCACTCTTTTAACACAATCTAATCAAAAGCAGCTACAATGAAGCTTAAATTTTGTGTATTGACATAGGTGGCATGCTTTTCTCAGCTTGCAAATATGTGATCAGAATCAATAAAAGTAAACATTGAAGCAGAATGAGATATTTTAATTTATACGATGGGCTTATTATGTGTAATTATGAAGATGTGTTCATCTCCAATCTTTGGCCTTCTGTAATACAGGAAATCTGAAATGTACGTTATTGCATCTTCAGGGGCAAATTATTTTCCATAATACAGTATAAAAATTAGTTTTCTATTAATTTCACTTAGTTTTTCAGCTAAGTGAAAAAAACCAGCTATTATCAAAATTTAATTAAGAATTATTTATCTGCTCTAGAAGATGATAGAAAGGCATTTATTTTCCTCCACTTCCCAAAAGGTGATTGTGCCTGTAAAATTTGCTGAGATTGTCCAAGAAAGTGTGTAAAATCCTCATCCATCACTGGGAGCCTCTGGTCAGGGAATGACAGTGCAGTAAATATCTTCAGCAGCTGCCTTTTAATGTACAAGCTGTTTTTGGTAGGAATTTTCAGCTCTCACATAAAACACACTGTCATGAGTGACTGCCTGTGCTCCAAAGTCATTACTATTGGGATGATGGAACATCTTTCAGAGAATAACCAAAAAAACTTTAAATGTCATGTCAAGTTTGCTGAAGCCATTTTCAAGCCTTGTTCAAGGTTACATGAATATTGAGTATGCCTGTTTTTAAAAAGTTTGAGATCTATGAGAGGGACTCTTCAGATTCTGGAGCTGCGTGCAGAGAGGAAATCTGTCTGTTAATACACGTCAGCCAACAAAGCTGAATCTGAACCAAGCACAGCTTCCTCTGACAGTTAATACCAATGATACTTAGCAAAAAGTAGCAGATTCTTAAAATTGCTTAGCTGCCTAAATAATAAATAAGAATTGTTACAATGGAAGTAGATTTTTTTATATTTCAAAATCTGATCAATTAAAAAATATGTAGGAAATTTAATTAACCAGATAGAAGTTTGGAAGCCATTGTGAAGTGCTGAGTAGTGTCTTCTCTTTGACTCAAGTGAGAAAGAAGGATCCTGTCAGTCTCTGTTCTTGATTTTATGGGAAATATGGATGCTAATCTAATAAAGTTGTGTAAAGTCTGCATCACTTCCAGGAGACCAGGCCTGCCACTTTTTTCTTCTTGACATTGTTCTTGACTCTTTGAACATCATTAGTCTTTTTAATGTGTCATCTGCATGTGAAATTTTGTCTCATCAAGAGATGTTTTTAAATTACAGAATATTGAAACTGAGTATTTTACACTGAGATGAAATTTATTTGTTTTATCTTTCACAGAGAACCAGAAAGCACAACTAGAGAAGTCGTGTTCACGCCACAATATCAGCTTAAACTCGACAAGAAGCCCGGTCACCAAAGAGGTTACTTATGATGTGGAAACAAGTTGTATGGCATGGAACAAGGCTGCTGGGAGAAAGGAAGCCTATAACGGAGAAGGCAACAAAGAAAGGAAAACAGAGCGTAACGGGTCTCCTTCTAAGGGAGAAACCATTCCAGAGGTAGAAGCTCTCCTGGCAAGGCTGCGAGCACTATAGAATATAAAGGATTAAATCAAAGCTTTAAAACAAACTGTAATAGATAGCTTGAAAAGATACACTAATTTTCCATTATTGACATTATGTACTTCTGAATTCCAAACTTCTCTATGTATTAATACTCTACTTCCAAACTGCACAGCACCAGACTTGTTTTTCTTCTCATTAAAAAGATTTTTTGTTATGCCTTTATGTACTGAGACTACAAAAAAAAAAATATCAGCAGAAACAAATAATACATTATTCCAAGTCACAGTCATTTTATTCAACAAACTGCTGACCATATGTTTTGAGAACTTCTCAAAATAGGTGTATCTCATAAATATTGTTAGATCACCATGCCTGGGAATAAGGGAATGCAAGAAAAGTAGTCTTATGTTTTCCACTGCAATTTCTGTTCTGAAGAGATATTAGTACCTAAAAGGTGTTATTACAGCAACATTTGCAACTATAGTAATGGGAAATGTGTATCACATAAGTTTTTCAGACATGTTCCAGTTTGAGTTCATTGAAGAGCTCCAAAGTTTGCTTAATATGCTTTTACAAAATGGAAATCCATGGACAGTAAACAGAAAAATCTATGCAGATTATATACTTTATGTGTGAATAATATATTGCTCCTCTTAATCTTAGTTATGCCAATTATATCAAGATAATATATATCTAATTTCTGTGAATGCAGTGTTTTGCAATCGTATCTGTAGTGGGCAGAAGGTCTTTCTCCACAGTTATTTACCAATGTCATTTTTTAATCTTTTCACATGTGAGTTAATATGTTTCTACAAAAGGAACATATAATGGAAAAGTTTCTACAATTGGTTTTTCACAAACTCATTTTCCAGTAGCCCATAAAGTCTTATTTGCTGGCACAATAGGAAACTTGCACATAATTGCATCTCTTTTATCGCACTGTCGTTGTACATTGTTACATGTTCGCTATCATATTTATTAATTGCACGTCATAAAGAATTGCTACCTACGTTACCAAGTAGGAAGTTACTATTAGTATCTTTGCTCCATTATTTAAAACTTCCTTATTATTAGAGCGTATTAGGTATCTAGTGTCTTTCTTCTAAATTACTCTATTTTTCTTTACAAAACACTGAAAAACATGTCTTTCAATAAGAGTCAGTTATGAAACCAGTGTTTCAGTGCTTCAGTGCTTTTTATATCCTTGTTTAAGTTGCCTTCTTACTTTCTGCACTAAACATTAATAAAGTTAATTAGAACTCTGAAATTGGGCCTGTTTATACATACTGCATGGAGTGTTTTTCAGCCATCATGGGAATCAATCTCGTGTTTCTGGGGCTGTTGTAACCATCATTATATGCTCTAATTACATTTCCTGCATTAGCTTTTGAAAAATAGAAAATATGAAGAGAAGCCAGGGAAAGATGCAGGGAAATTCTGTCAGACCATCATTTATTCAGTGCTGCTTGCAAAACAATGGGCAGGGGTGTCAAACAAGGCTGTCTTTGGTGCCTTTTAGTGAGTGAACAGCAACTGCTAATCTCATAAAAACTAAAGTAAAAGCTCACGCTGGAGTTAATAATGTCCTCTCCAGTCACTACAGTAAGTTGTAATCCATAATTTTGCATAATGCAACTGTTGCTAAAGTACCACTACAATCTTCTGCACCTTGTCAACTGTTAAGACTTACTACACATGCTCACAGGGTACCATTCAAATTGCAGTCGACAGAGTACAGTACGCTTGACTAAATAAAACTAAATGAAATATATTTTGAAGAAAGAAAAATACAGTTGCTGAAGAATGTGTTAGAATAAAAGGGCTGGGCATGGAGAACTACCTCTGAAGTACGAACGTGATGGCCAGCTGAATGAAGGTGGATGTACAAACTCGTTTTCATTAACAGTTTCATTACATTTGTTCACTTGAATAAGTGAGTAACAGTCCACACCAGAACTGACAGTTCAGGACACCAATGTGTCATTTTTCAAGCAAATCAAATTAATGAAGCTACCTAGTGGAATTCTCAATAATCAAAGAGCTCCTAGCAGCCTAGCATCTTCTGATTTAAAAGTAAATATTTACTTTTAAAACTATAGATCTTAAGCCATCTTTTTGTACAGGCCGAGAAGCTCTAAGGAATGTATTCCAGGGCTTTTGGTCCTTGTTAGATGTTGTGTTTCTGAATTCATACTTCCAAGCAGACATCAAGTTAATTCACAGTTTCTTCTGTATAAGTAGGAGAATAAAAGAAGCTTTGTAACTTTTCACAACCCATGTAAATACAGTGTGTAGTTTTTCCCCTTCAGCGTTTCCTTTTACCATTGTAATGTGATGTAATCAGGATTGAAGTACACAGTCCAGTTGGTGTACACAATAAGTTTTCTCTCTGCATTTCACCCTTCCTTATAAGTAAACAATTAAGATCTTTTGAATAGGAAAAATAAATACATGGTTTAATGGATTCAAGTAACAGTAACCTTGAGAATATTATGTCTCTATTCCATTATATGCTCTTATGCTTTTATTAAAGTGTAAAACTCGGCTTCTAAATTGTATGGGGTAAATTGTTTTAATTCACTTAATTCATTAACTGAGTTTAAAATTTAAAGCTAAATAAATTTTTTTTTAAATGAATGCAGATTTTTAATGCTGTGTGCTAGTTATTTTTAGTAGGACGTTTTTAGTAAGTATCAAGCCTACTGCCTCATCTGTAGGATTGAACCGAAGGTTTCACATGAAGTGAAAAACCCTCTGTTTCTGTAATTCACACCTGAAGATTAAGTCCCTATTAAAAAAAAAAAGCTTCCTGCTATCTTCAGACATAACTGTTCAAAGAAAAGCATTTGAGAGATCTTGTGGGGTATACTCCACTGCTCATTCCTTACTTGAGCAGCATACAGCAGGCAAAAACAGCAGGGGCTTTTCTTGCCAGTAAGCTGTAAGGGTCTAACACATTTTTGATACTTCACATTCATTTGGGATGACTTTTCATTTACTTCAGTAGAAGAATTTTGATTATTTCATCAATTTTTAGTTTACTTATACACCGGATTATTCATGGCAGTGGTCTAAATTCATACATAAATAATTCTAATGGCTTGACCTTCTCAAGATATTAATGTTTGCTATCAGTTTCCTCAAGCTATATGCAACCAAGCTTGACATCTGACTTATGGACCATAGGTGATATACTAGTCCATATGAACGCAGAACGAAAAATGATGGCAGTGACTTTATTACCAAACAGTACAGTGGCACTGTGGCTGCCGTGGCATACAGTCCTGTTCTGAATTAAACACATCATTAACAGAGCATGGATCAGCAATCTGGAAAAACTATTTACTTTGCACTCTCCATTAATTATGACAATACTTTAAAAAAAAAAAGTTGGGGAAAAAAAAAAAAGTTGGAAAAAAACCCTCAGATGCAGCTGTTGTACACAATTTTTCTGCAGCACTTACTTGTCTGAAACCACCTTATATGACCAGCCCTCAGCCTAGCCCAGCCGAAGTCATACTTTCTGGACCTAAATGGGTTAATGCTGAGCAACTTGAAGCACTGCAACCCTTTGGGCTTCTGTAATAAAAGCTGGAAAAGAAGACATTTACTGCTAACTTCTGCTGCAGCCATTTCTAATGAGCAGGAACAAATTATAATTTTTACAATAATCTTTCCAAGCCTTACAGTACCTGGTGTCTATAAAACAAATGGACAAGCAGGGGTTGGTAAACCCAAAGCCACAGCACCTAAAACGTTGTAATAAGAAAGCAGAGGCAAGCGAGAGAGCCCAGGAAAAAAAAAAAAAAATAAAAGCAATTACATGAAAACATTGTAACATTGTTTTCTCTAGAACAAAATAAAGCCTTGCTATACCAGCTCCTGTTGTTTTAATGTGATGTGTTTGTTATACACAACTGAACTAAAGCAGAAAAATAACTTCACTTAAAAGTCAAAGTCTGAGGAACTGCTTGTCTGGCTCACTAAATAAATTAAAAAATAATAGATGACTTGCAGCTTTTATGTGTTCAGTCTTACATTATGCCAAGTTTCCTACAGGTAAGAAATGCTGAGATGATCGCCTTGTGTTAATTATACAAGAGATTAATCAACTTTATTTAAATTATTCTGGCATGTGATGCAAGCACCTTTTACAGTTTTACTACTTCTGGTTGTGAAAGCATGCCAGTAAAGCATTCTGGTCACTGTAACATCACTGAAGAACAGGTGAGAAGTGGTCCAGATAAAATTTTTCTCTCCCTTCCAGAGATAGCCATTAAGTTTGATACGTTAGCTGAGTACATTTTAAACTCCAATGTACTTTTATTTTCCTTCAGAAGTGCAGCTTTTTCTTTTTGTGATCCATGCAATGTCATGCACTGAAGAATTATTAAGGGAAATATTTTCTGACAACGTACCAAGCAGATGACTTGCATGCAACGTCAGTCTCATATACCACAGAGGCATAACTCTTGAATGTAATCCAAAGAGAGACAGATAAGGTTTTTCACTCCACCAAAAGAAAATAGTTCCTTTCATCTAAATGAGCTTATTCCACTGCTGGTATTGGAGCTGCATTTATTTCTGGAGGGTAATATACCTCTCTTTTAAAATCTGTGTTATATTACCCAGAAAAAAAAAAAAAAAAAAAAAAAAATTAACTATGGAAAGGCAGAATTGAGGAGACTTCGTAGCAGAGTTGATTAATGTGCTGCCTGATTTCATTTCTGGGACCTGAAACTGCATCTAGTGTGGAATGAAGCAACTGGAAAAAAAATAGTCTTATCTGACATCTTTAAAGGTCATGAAGGAAATGATGGTGGGTGATCCAGAGTTGGTATGGCCACAGGTGTCTTGTCTATTTGAAGACATATATCAGAATATCCTCAGAATAGCAATATTGTTGGGCTGCTCGTTTGCAATGCTCTCAAGCTATAAGAGGAAGGAAAAGTCTGACAGATAAATATGAATCCCCAGAAAACCTCAGAATATTTTCTTAAATTCAAGGGTCAGTCCTGCTCCCATTCACT